GTAACCCTTGCATGAGAGTGGATGGTGTCACTTTGGCTAACTCTGGAAGTTTCCTGTTTCCATCACAGCATGTGGGACTAATCTTCACTACTATTTCATTTTTAAGGACATAATTTAATCACAAAATATTGGACATTTTGATCGTATAATTTTTGCTTTGCTAAAGCTTCTCATTTCTGTTTTCAAGTCACGGGTGTGGTCCCATTCACTTGAATGGGTAGCATTTGGTGGCGGTACTGTCTGCAGAATGCAACATGCCGTTTGATTTTAGCAAAGCATCAAGGGCACTGCGTGAGTAGAATGCTGAGCGGATGCATTTCTATATTCAGATGGTAGGTGAGGGGGAGGTAAGACTGTGGCTTAGCGGCCTGCTTTCGCTGCCTTCCGTGTGAACAAGCCCATAGGAATGAATGGGGCGGTGGAGAAGAGGACGTTTTTGTTTTGCAGTGGACTGAGGCTGGAATGAAATATTTGAGGCAGTGGGCTGCACTCAGGGAAGTGAAGAGGAATCAATGAAAGGACAATTGCAGCAAAGGTCCCGTCATCCTTTACATTATACCGGGGATGTAGAGACATCGGTCAGTTTAGAAGCACATAGCCTTCAGCGAAGTCCTTTTGTTGAAGTGGCGGTGAACAGCTTGCAGCCCTCTGGCTGTTGGGGTTGTCGGTATATCCAGCAGGCCTGCCAGGAGGCGCACTGGATGGGTACTATAGGAAACCGCTCTGTATACACGCACTCATAAAAATGTCATCATCACACGGCTTTTTTTTCCATAAGAAGACAAATGTCTCGTCTCCTTCCAGCACAGCGAGCGCACTGTAAATCTCCCAGCACACTGATCCAAGGAGTGTAAATAATCTGCCGCTCTATTAGAATACAAACTCTGCAGTCTGCACACTCAGTGCCATGCTTTATGGATCCACGCTCAGCGGGGTTCTGTCATCATCCGAGCGCCGACTGTACAAGTGGCCGCCGGATTAGGAAGTGCGCTTGTTGTTCATAGCAACCAATCAGATCAATTCAGGGAATTTATGGTGGTGCTCATAGCAACCAGCAAGATTATATAAGGTAATGTATGGGGCTGATGCTCATAGCAACCATTTACATTACTAAATAGAATATACAGTGGCTTTGCTCAAAGCAACCAATCAGATTTGATTTACAGTGGTGTCGCTCATAGCAACCAATCAGATTTGATTTATGGTGGTGTTGCTCATAGCAACCAATTAGATTATTGAAGGGAATATATGGTGGTGTTGCTCACAGCAACCAATCAGATTTGATTTACAGTGGTGTTGCTCATAGCAACCAATCAGATTTGATTTCTGGTGGTGTTGCTCATAGCAACCAATTTGATTATTGAAGGGAATATACAGTGGTGTTGCTCATAGCAACCAATCAAATTTGATTTACGGTGGTGTTGCTCATAGCAATCAAACAGATTTGATTTACGGTGGTGTTGCTCATAGCAACCAATTTGATTATTGAAGGGAATATACAGTGGCTTTGCTCACAGCAACCAATCAGATTTGATTTACGGTGGTGTCGCTCATAGAAACCAATCAGATTTGATGTACGGTGGTGTTGCTCATAGCAACCAATCCGATTTGATTTACAGTGGTGTTGTTCATAGCAACCAATCAGATTATTTGTGGGAACGTGCAGTGATGTTGCTCATAGTAACCAATTAGATTAAAAAAGAGGATGTACAGTAGTGTTGCTCATAGCAACTGATCAGATTTTTTGAGGAAATGTAGATTGGATTATTGCAGGGAATATACAGTGGTGTTGCTCATAGCAACCAATTAAATTATTTTAGGGAATGTATGATGGTGTTGCCCATAGCAACCAATTAGATTGTTACAATATACAGTGGTGTTGCTCATAGCAGCCAATCAGATGATTTGTGGGAACATGCAGTGATGTTGCTCATAGCAAACAAATTATATTATTGAAGGGAATATACAGTGGGTTTGCTCATAGCAACCAATCACAAATTATTTGAGGGAATGTATGTTGGTGTTGCCATAGCAACCAATTAGTTTATTGAAGAGAATATACAGTGGGTTACTCATAGCAACCCAAATTATGATTACAGGGAATGTACAGTGGTGTTGTTCATAGCAACCAATCAGATTATTTGTACAGTGGGGACATGCAGTGTACAGTGGTGTTGCTCATAGCAACCAATTATATTATTGAAGGGAATGAATACAGTGGTGTTGCTCATATCAACCAATCAGATTATTTGAGGGAATGTATGATGGTGTTGCTCATAGCAACCAATTATATTATTGAAGGGAATATTCAGTGGTGTTGCTTATGGCAACCAATCATATTATTTGTGGGAACGTGCAGTAGTGTTGCTCATAGCAACCAAATAGATTAATAAAGGGAATGTACAATGGTGTTCATAGCAACCAATCAGATTTTTTGAGGAAATGTACATTAGATTATTGAAGGAAATCTGCCGTGGTGTTGCTCATAGCAACTATTCATATAATTCAAATTATGTAAGAAAATTTATGATGGTGTTGCTCATAGCAACCAATCAGATTATTTCAGGGAATGCATGGTGGTGTTGCTCTTACCAACCAGTTAGATTATTGAAGAGAATGTACAGTGGTGTTGCTCATAGCAACCAGATTATTTGTGGGAACGTGCAGTGATGTTGCTCATAGCAACCAATTAGATTAATAAAGGGAATGTACAGTGGTGTTGCTCTTAGCAACCAATCAGATTTTTTGAGGAAATGTAGATTTGAATATTTAAGGGAATGTGTGGTGCTGTTGCTCATAGCAGCCAATTATATTATTAAAGGGAATATACAGTGGTAATGTACATGTTTCTTTTTTAAATGGTCAAGATTAAAAAAAGAAAAAGGAAAAAATATTTTTGCCTTTTAAGTCACATACCATACCATGGTATTTTTATCCAGCAGTCGGTGCTCTCACCCCTATTCTGTCTCATTTTTTGCTGTATTGTTTACAGCCTGTTGTTCACAGACCACAGTAGCTCAACTACAATTTACAACCCCAGTGAATCTGCCAGAATGGCGTTTCTTATTGGATAGCTCAGCCCAAGGTATCAGTCACACGTCTGCATCTGAACACAAATAGGAAGACAACAGTGTAAAACTAATGACCTCAAAAAAGAGCACCGACCCTAAAACATAATTTTCTTTGAAAGGGAAAATCTACTGTTGCCATGTATTATTTAATTTTTTTATTAATCATTTAAATATTGCACATGCATAGCTCATATTTACCACTTACAGCCAGTAGGAAAGGCTGCAACAGGGGCCTGATCTGTGTCAGACAATTGTGAACACAGCCAAGAACGACTTAGGGGCCAGGATTTACATGATTGTGCCATTTATGAGCCAGTATCTTAGTCCAGGGAGTAGATGGTGATCCTGGATGATGCCTGAAAAAAATGGAGCTGTACAGCTGGAGGGAAACGCAGATTGAAGGCATTGTCCGGGGAGTACTGTGTCTTTATATACTGCAGTAAAAATGTAGCTCAACTGCCTATTTTTACAAACCCCCCCCCCCCCAACTGCAAGTGTAAAGTAAGCCTTAAGGCCCTGTTCACACCTGTGCACTTTTGCTGTGCTAAAACGCACCTTTCCAGGCCATCAGAAGTGCATGTTAAATAGTCTCCCTTCAATCCTATGTCATTATTTACATCTTGCGCTGCACTTTTGAAAAGTACTTGCAGCTTTATTTATTTATTTCAGGTACTTATATAACGCTGTCAATTTACACAGCACTTTTACATATATATTGTACATTCACATCAGTCCCTAACCCTCAAGGGGCGTACAATCTAAGGTCCCTAACTCACATACATATATATAGGGCCAATTTAGACAGGATCCAATTAACCTACCAGCATGTCTTTTGGAGTGTGGGAGGAAACCGGAGTACCCAGAGGAAACCCACGCAAGCGCAGGGAGAACATGCAAACTCCATGCAGGAGGCACCATGGTCAGGAATCAAACCCATGACCCATTTACTGCAAGGCAGACGTGCTAACCACTAAGCCACTGTGTTTATTGGCGTGTTTGCCGTGTGTAGGGCAGCCTACCAAAATGAATGAGTTGGCCTATGCGTGCAATACAAAGACATACAGAATCATGTGCAAAAAATGCACATTTAGGAGACACTAGCTGTAAACCTAGCCTGAGTGGCAGTGGTTGGGGGGGGTGTGAGGACAGTAAAAATGCAGCTCAACTGCCTGTTTTTACAACACCCCCAATCACTCCCCCCCCCCCAACTGCAAGTCAAAGCACGTCAAAAGTACGTGAAAAATAGTTCCTTCTAAATCCTATCTAACTGTTTATATCTTGCGCTGTACTTCTGATAAGTCCTGCTTGCAGCATCTTTTGTGCCCTGTTTAATCACTTGCCTACAGGGCACTTATACCCCCTTCCTGCCCAGGCCAATTTCCAGCTTTCAGCGCTGTCACACTTTGAATGACAATTGCGAGGTCATGCAACATTGTACCCATATGAAATTTTTATCATTTGTTTGAGACAGATAAGAGCTTTCTTTTGGTGGTATTTAATCACCTCTGGGATTTTTATTTTTTCTTAAACAAACCAAAAACCACTGAAAATGTTGAAAAAAAAAAAAGATTTTTCTTAGTTTTTGTTATACAATTTTGTAAATAAGTGATTTTTCTCCTTCACTGATGTGCGCTAATGAGGCTGCAGTGATGGGCACCGATAGGCTGCACTGATGGACACTGATAGGTGGCACTGATGGGCACTGATGAGGAGGCACAGGTAGGTTGCACTGATGGGTATTGACAGGCATCACTGATGGGCACTGAAAGGCAGCACTGATACATGACACTGATACATGACACTGATAGGTGGCACTGATAGGCGGCACTGATAGGTAGCACTGACTGGCACTGTTAGGTGGCACTGACTGGCACTGATAGGCGGCACTGACTGGCACTGATGCGCACTGATAGGCGACACTGACTGGCACTGATAGGTGGCACTGATTGGCAGCACTGATAGGTGGCACTGATTGGCATTGATAGGTGTCACTGACTGGCACTGATGGGTGACATTGAAAGGCAGCTCAGATGGGCACTGATATGTGGCATTGATGTGCACTGATGGGCACTGGCACGTGGCACTGATGAGCACTGACAGGTGGCACTTCTGGGGCCACACTGATCATCAGGGCAAACTGATCATCAGTGCCCTGATGATCAGTGTACATGTCCCCTCCGCAGAAAGCCGATTACCGGCTCTCCTCTCGAGCTGTCAGCGTGACAGCTCGAGAGGAGAGAAATGCCGATAACCGGCATTTCCGCGTTTACATGTGATCAGCTGTGATTGGACACAGCTGATCACATGACCGAGCCGACATCTTCAGCTCTTTCCGTGATCCGCTGTGTCCGAGGGACACAGCGGGCTGGCGATCACCGCGCTGCGCGCTCCCTGAGCCACGCATGCACAGTGAGAATGGTAGGACGTCATATGACGTCCTATCAGTACGAGGGAACCACCTTGCGCCCGTCATTGTACTATAGGGAGGGAGGAAGGTGGTTAAAAAACACACCAAAAATGCGCCTTCCATTGAAGTCTATGGGCGTGCATCAAAAAACGCACTGCGTGTGACCAGGGATAAAAATGCACATAAAAAAACGTTGTGTTAAATGTTAATGCAATGCATTAAAAACACGATATGTGGTTTTAAAAACCCTGTTTTACAATGCAGAGATGTGAATGGGCCCTTATGATGGTTGAAGTGCAAGGCCACAAATATATCCCACCACAGGGAAGGTACCACTGCTTTGTAAATCACTATGTTGGTGCTACATACTGTATATCCTGAATATTATTAATTATTATTAATAATAGTAATGGTAATGAAAACAATAACAATAACAGTAATGGTCATGATAATAATAAAAATAATAATAATAATAATAAAAGTGTCAACTCTCTGCTCCTCACAAGACCTCCTTCTCTCTAGTTCCCTGGTCTCCTCCTCCCATGTCCACCTCCAGGACTTCTCCAGGGCATCACCCATACTCTGGAACTCCCTACCCCAATCCATCAGACTATCACCTTCTCTCCTCTCCTTTAGGCACACCCTGAAAACCCACCTCTTCAGGGAAGCCTACCCCACCCCCTGCTAACTGCCGATCTCCTCCTCTCTTCCCACCACTCCATCCCTCACAGGTTTTCCTCCCGTACCACTATCCCCTCCCTCCTAGATTGTAAGCTCCAAGGAGCAGGGCCCTCGAACCCCTCGTGTATCACATTGTATTGTCACTGTACTGTCTCATGTATTGTCTCCCATTGTAATGTACAGCGCTGAGTGAACTATTGGCGCTATATAAATACTGTATAATAATAATAATATTAGTAGATTACAAATGAAATCAGCCCTAGTCAACCAGCAAGACATTCCAGAATTCAGCAATGCTCCAGCTCTGGTTGAAGCTGGCACATCACAGACCTGTCTTTCCAGCCGGAGAGCCATTCAGAAAACTTTTGAATGCGTCCATGGACTGCACGGCACCCCTCATGATATAATTGGTTCTGTCTCTTCACCTCAGACAATCGTAAGCCGAGTTGTCCTGTGTTAAACAAGATCTATTGCATTCGGGGGCACTGAATGCCTCGCAACAAATGTTATCTAGCACTCATATTCCCATCGCTGAGTGAGAGGTCAAGTAATCCGAAAGAAAGGAGATTGTTACAGCAGATAGGTTTGAAATGCAACCCTCTTTGTCGATCCTGAATCTCAGGCTCTCTCTCTAAATTAATCAATACAAGTCATTATTTTTCACATAGCAGCCGAGTGAACAGGCAGCTTATCCAACCACAGGGAAACCACAAAACAAAAAAAAAAAAAAAAAAAAAAACACTCAGTGAATAAGATTGCAGCTGTGACATTCAGGTTTGTAAAATTATGTATCAATAGAAATGATATCATTTTAATGTGTGGCATTTGTGTTTTTTTAGATTTGTAATTTGCATCAGTAAATTTATCAGTTGCTATGTGGTTCCTTAGGACACCTTCATGAAAATCTACACAGGGAAGCCATGGCATTTTAGTAAAACCATCCCATAGCTTTGCATCTGACCAAATGATGTCAAAACAAAAGTACGTATTGGAAGGTAGTAGTGGGTATGTAAAGAGTTTTTAGAGGTGTGTAAAAACATTTCAGTTATAGGAGAGCATGGGGGCTTCTCCGTACACCAGGGGGGGAGAAAAAAGGGGGAGGGTGCGGCGAGAAATATATATATGGTATATGGTAGTATAGGAGGGGTACTGCAGCTTGAGTAGTTCAAAAGGTGGAGGAGTCTTATAGTTCAGGTAGTAATGGGCAGGAAGGGGGGATATAAAAATCTGTAAATATATATAAAACAAATATATATATAGCTGCAATATAAACACTGACGTGAGGCCGCACTCTCTAGAGTAAACCGGAACTCTGTGTGGAGAGAATAGAGGAGAGAGAGAGGTGCACCAGACTAAGTGCAGTAAAAATGGTAACTGTTTATTGCACACAAGATATTAAAAACTCACAAGATGTGGGTAAAAATCAGGCATCAGGATGTAGATACAGGACGTCATCTAGGGTGGACATCTGGAGCGGATGGCTGAGGTACCAGGGGCCAAAAGCTCCCTCAGTGGCTGGTGCTCTGGAGTGGGTCTCAGTGGAGGAGTGAGGAAGGCAGACGGTTGTCCTGGGAGTCGCAGTGCAGGGAAGGAACCGTGCTCTGGACGGGTGCTGCTAGCCTCTCACATCAGCACTGTGACACCGAGGACAACCGTCTGCCTTCCACGCTCCTCCACTGAGACCCACTCCAGAGCACCAGCCACTGAGGGAGCTTTTGGCCCCTGGTACCTCAGCCATCCACTCCAGATGTCCACCCTAGATGACGTCCTGTATCTACATCCTGATGCCTGGATTTTTATCCACATCTTGTGAGTTTTTAATATCTTGTGTGCAATAAACAGTTACCATTTTTACTGCAGTTAGTCTGAAGCACCTCTCTCTCTCCTCCAAATGTCAAGCCTGCTTTGAAGGAGTTGTCTCTCAGGCTCAGTGTTGTTTAGATAGCATTATACACATGGGTACATTTTATAGTTTATGATATAGCTTCTAGAATTATTGGCTGATACTAAAGGTTGCTATGTCTCTGGTGCTCACTACCAAATTTAGGTTCTACTCTTTGGGATACCAGTAACACCTGGTGTCAGGGAATGCCTGAACAATTAATTTAGTCAGTTAAATCGGTCAAATCACAGTGCTGCTAATACAAAAATTTTTTATAAAAATAATTTAACTGACTTAATAAATTATTCTGAGTGAATTGTAGCTAAGCAAAATTCTTTAAGAACACAACCAGATCAGTGCGAGTATGGACTGGAGATTATGAAAATAAATTAATATTTCTTTACAAAAAGTCACTTTATAAGCACCAATTATTATTCGTAATAATAGTCAGATAATGATATACATAGACACTAAGATAATTGAATAAACGTTCTAAAGTTGTCTGTAACAATAGAGTATACAGTTGCAAGAAAAAGTATGTGAACCCCTTGAGATTACGTGGAGTTTTGCATGAATTGGGCATAAAATGTGCTCTGAACGTCATCTAAGTCACAACAATAGAAGAACACAGTCTGCTGAACATAATACTACACAAACATTAGATGTTGCCATGGTTTAATTGCACATAACATGTAAACATTCACAGTGCAGGGAGGAAAAAGTATGTGAGGCCCTAGCTTAATGACTTCTCCCAGAGCTAATTGGAGCCAGGAGTGAGCCAACCTTGACTCCAATCAGTGTGATGATATTGGATGTGTTGCTGACAGCTGTCCTACCCTTAAAAATACACACCTGTTTTGGGTTTACTGGTTTCAAGAAGCACTGTCTGATGTGAACCATGCCTCGCAGAAAAGAGCTCTCAGAAGACCTACGATCAAGAATTGTTGACTTGCATGAAGCTGGAAAAGGTTACAAAAGTATTCCAAAAGCCTTGATGTTCATGTGTCCACGGTAAGACAGATTGTCTACAAATGGAGAAAGTTTAGCAGTGTTGCTACTCTCCCTAGGCATGGTCGTCCTGTAAAAATGACTGCATGAGCACAGTGCAGAATGCTGCATGAGGTAAAGAAGAATCCCAGAGTGTCAGCTAAAGACATACAGAAATCTCTGGCACATGCTAACATTTTTGTTGACACATCTACAATAAGGAAAACATTAAACAAGAATGGAGTACATGGGAGGACACCACGGAGGAAGCAATTGCTGTCCAAAAAGAATATACTGCAGCACGTTTGAAGTTTGCAAAAGAGTACCTGGATGATCCACAGCACTACTGGCAAAATATACTGTGGACAGATGGAACCAAGATTGAGTTGTTTGGGAAGAACACACAACACTATGGGTGGAGAAAAAAAGGCACAGCACACCAACATCAAAACCTCATCCCCACTGTAAAACATGGCGGAGGGAACATCATGGTTTGGGGCTGCTTTGCTGACTCAGGGCCTGGACGGATTGTTGTCATTGATGGGAAAACGAATTCCAGAGTTTATCAAGACATTTTGCAGGAAAACGTACGACCATCTGTCTGCCAACTGAAGCTCCGCAGAGGATGGGTGATGCAACAGGACAATGACCCAAAGCATACAAGTAATTCAACAAAACAATGGCTGCAACAGCACAGAATACGCCTTCTGGAGTGGCCCAGTCAGAGTCCTGACCTCAACTCGATTGAAATGCTGTGGCATGACCTTAAGAGAGCGATTCACACCAGACATCCCAAGAATATTGCTACACTGAAACAGTTTTGTGAAGAGGAGTGGTCCAAAATTACTCCAGATCAGGTTGATCTGCAACTACAGGAAATGTTTGGTTGAGGTTATTGCTGCCAAAGGAGGGTCAACCAGTTATTAAGTCCAAAGGTTCACATACTTTTTCCTCCCTGCACTGTAAATGTTTACATGTTATGTGCAATTAAACCATGGCAACATCTAATGTTTGTGTAGTATTATGTTCAGCAGACTGTGTTCTTCTATTGTGACTTAGATGACGTTCAGAGCACATTTTATGCCCAATTCATGCAAAATTCCATGTAATCCCAAGGGGTTCACATATTTTTCTTGCAACTGTATATTTAAATGGTTTTGGAGGCACTCACGAGTCTTGCAGAGGAGGGAGATCAAAAACCACAGCCTTTTTATTGTCAACGTTTCGACGTTCAGTCTATCTTTCTCTAGACATCTTGAGAAAGATGGACTGAGCATCATGGAAACGTTGATAATAAAAGTGCTGCTGTTTTTGAT